CTGCGTGTGCGTAAATTTATGAAGAAGTAGCATTTTAAAATCATTTCATAAAATTAAAGTTTTTTCCTTAAAAAATTAAATGATTAGCTCTTTATGAAATTTTGAGCACAAGATCTGTTTTACATAGGAGGAAACCAAAAATATTTTGAAAATACTTCGATTAAAAAATGTTGCGTATTTAAGTGACTCGTGCCACATGGATCCATACAATACGGATCCTATCTCCAGTGTTTCAGAAGGGATTAACGAATATTTTATTCATTTATCAAAACATTCTAAAAAACTTTTTTAAATGCTGTTTAGCATACTCTTACCTTGTTCCTCATTTTAAAATTCAAACTTTTTATTTCCTACTTAATAATATTATTTCTCCAAAATTCTATGTACATCAATACTTACAAGTTAGTTTTTTACAAAATACCATATTATTATGCATTCATTTCCGTTATAAGTTTATAGAAACGCTGTGTGTAAACTAATAACAACTTGAATATATTATGTGTGTGTATAAAAGAAAGATAAAGAGAGAGGGGGAGGGAGATTATAACAAAAAATCGATATCTATCTTTCAGATCTACAGACATAAAATCTGGCCGACATGTTTCTTTTGTTGAATAGAAATCTGCTAAGAACGGGTTTTTCGGAAATCGACTCCCAAAGGGTCTACAAGGGGTGTTATAAATTTTTTTTAAAAATGTTCGTTTTTGAACTTTTAGACCTACATTATTGAAATTTGGCAAGCATGTTTATTTTATTGATTAGAGATCCGCTAAAAAGGGATTTGTTAAAATCGTCTAGAAGAGGGGGTTACAGGGTGTGTAAATGATAATTGTTCTTCCGTCTCAGAAACTCAAGTACTGTCCTTTTTAAATCAAGAGGCAAGGGTTATGCAAGAAATTTTTTCAATACAATCGAGTGCTCAATGCTAGGATTTAGATGTAAATAACTTTAAAAAACTGTATGTAAGCATGCAATAGCATGAAATACCTAGAGAAGTGGACAGCTGTAGGTTAGTATGTGTGTGTGTGTTTAAATAGAATAGATAAATACAGTCGACTCTCGATAGTTCGAAGCTGGAGGGACCAATGAAAAACTTCGAAATATCAAAAGGGTAGAAAAAATTCCCAAAATAACACGAAGAAATTTTTTTTCTAACACATTTAAATTTGAAACTATGTAATAAAACAACAATTGCACATTTGTATAAATTTATTTTAAAGTATTTTTAAAAGGTGCATATATCATACAGTATCAATATTTTACAGAAGTTAAAAGTCCTGTATTAAAAGAATACATTCAATACATTCATACCCAATCCTACTCGCATCTCTTCTTCACAATAGCGGACCATCCTTTCTGAACACATGTGTAACAAGGTCGCGTGAAAAAAGAAAGATATGGACTGCTGACAACAAGTAAGGTTGGAGTCCACTTGAAGAGGGAAGGCAATAAAAGTGTATTTTTGTTTGATGAACCGAAAAACTTCTAAGAAGGGATGGCAGACAGGTGGTCATCAAAAGGGCTACGTTAAAGGGTAGACATTCAGAGACAATACAACACAAAACATGCAAGCTTCAAACTGTTTGCTACAGGACTCTACATGATAATGAGTGTTCAAATTGTCGAGAGTTTTATAAAACAATTTCGAATTATTACGTGTTGTAGTTTGGCCAGCCACAGATTTTACATCGAATTATTGAGTGTACCCAAATGTATTGTTTTAGTTCGAAATATCAAGAGTTTTTCTAGGGACTGAGCATAGAATTCGAATTATCGAGAGGTTAGTATTATCGAAGGTTTGAGAATTATCGAGACCGAATTATCATTGGGACCGAACATTGTATTTGTTAATTCGGGGTTATTCGTAATATCGGGGTCAAAAAATTACAAATTTCTTGCACGTACCTTTTGGAAATTCTATAATAAGCAACTGCACACAAAATATCTATAGTTAGGAATTGCACGTTTTTGTTCAGCAACTAAAATTACTACTGGTAAATTATTACGCATCAGTTAACAGGAAATATTAACTAATAGATGCTTGACAATATTTCTGATTTCTGACTCAAAAGAGTTTTCTTTTTCGCTAAATCAAGTTTCAAATTTTCTGCAAAACAGCTCGTATAAAACTGAATAACTCTCGAGAAGGAGAATAAATGGTATCCCCTGCGTTGTGTGGAGAGGAAGATCAAACAGGAACTTCCTGTTCTATTCAAAACTCACGCAATTGATTACACTCACGAATCATCTAAACTACAGCCTTTCTCGTTGAAATTTGCTTCTAACGAGAGAAGTCTTTTTCTATTCCGGGCAATAAAAATATGTTATTTAAAAAAATTCAATTAAAAATTATTTTTTTTGGCTATGGAAATAATTTGTTAATTCGGGGTTAATTCGTTAAATAGGGGTTTTCTGTCTTCTCTTTAATCGAGGGAAAAGGAAAAATTTGTTAAATCGAGAAACTCGTTAAATCGAGTCTCGGTAAACTGGGGTCCGATAGTATATATATATGGGGTGTATATTTAACATATATTATTACAATACCGAAATATCCTACAATCTAAAAGTTCACTCGAATTAGAAGGATAAACTTAAAAAAAAAATTATAGTTATTGTCCCCTTCAAAATAGAAAATAAACTATTTAAACCAGTGTTTCTCAAATTTTCAATATTTGCGACTCAATATTCAATCATAATTTTCATCGCGCCCCCCCCCTCCATATAATAACAATGTATTGAATTCAACAATACTACACTTTGTTGCTATAGCTACTATACGACTTAAACCTCTCAAATGCTACCGGCGTCTTACTCAATCAAAGCGTTATTTTTCTTTGACGCATATAAATGTCTTTCCGAAGCACGATCTTTTCTGTGCACTACTATCCATACAATTATTCCGAAGACTTTGGAATGCAATAAAAGGACCTTGAGAGTGTTGGCGAAGGATTTAATTACTTCAGAGAATTTGCTTATTTATTCTATTTCTCCCCACCCCCTCCCAATACATTACATACACACGTCTTCTTGGAAAATGGTGGCGTTAGGGAGCGAATCGCATAACTTTTAATAGGCAGTAAAGGGATTAATTATAAACTGTACAAATGATTAAGATAAGTGTTAATTTCTGTATATAATTTTATATATGACAAGCCCTAGGGGTCATTGGTAATTAATAGTGTTATTCTTAAATTGTCTGTTGTCTTTTTTTAAAATAATCTTTTGTTTTCGACTTTTCAATACGCTCGCGTCCCCTTTGTGGAGTTATCGCGCTCCTCAAGGGGGGTACGCCCTACAGTTTGAAAAACGTTTATTTAAACTAATTACTAATTTGATATTTGATCGGTATTTAAGATCGCTTCACATTTACTTGTTTACACCTAGAAAAAAAAAAGAGCACAAAGAGAAAAAATATTCGATTCAGTCTCGAATGAAAGAAAGCATTTTTGTGCCCCCCCCCCTCCACTCCTCGTCTTTATACAAGCATTCCACATTTTCTCCAAATAATCGCCTTTCTCAATCCTGTCTGCCATTGTTCCAGTGTCAAAACTGGAATACCAATCGTTATTATCTGAATAAATTGCACCCTATCTCTTTCTCGATGGGACGCAGACAAACAAAAATTGAAAGCCATTTGCGGAAAGGCCTCACGCTTTATGCCCCACTTGACCCTGACGTGTCAACATTCTCCACCGAAACTGGGGAGCATTGAGAAAAAGAAATTGAAGAAAAGGGAGAGTCAATTTGAATTGTTTATCCATGAAAACTGATGATACTTAGCCTTCATTCAAAAAGAAGTAGAACGCGGCCCTATATAAGCTGAACACAGCTTTCGAATCTTCACACTTGCGATTTGACAGCTGAAGCAGCCTTTTGGATTCTCTTACCCGCAGCTTGGAGCAGCTTAATCCACAATCATGAACGGAATGGTACGTATTTGCAAGTATTTGGTTTATTCCTATAGGCCCTTACTACCAAGGGAGATAGAAGCGTCCAAAGAACACTTAACAGACTTGCTAGTGGATACATTCAGACAGTGCTTCTCAAACTTTCAATATTTGCGACCCAATATTCAATCAATTTTCACCTCGCCCCCCCCCATACAATAACAATGTATTGAATTCAAGAATAGTGTACTTTGACGCTAAAGCTATAATACGAGTTTGACCTCTTAAATACCACCGACGTATATAAACGTTTCAGCCAAAGCATTAATTCCCCTGGACGTATATATACGTCTTTACGAATAACAGTATTTTCTGTGCACTGCTATTCAAACAATTATTCCGAAGGCTTTGGAATACAGTAAAAAGAAATTGACAGTGTTGAAGGATTTACTTATTTCAGAGGATTTGCTCATTTATTCCATTTCTTCCTCCCCCAAAACATCACATACGCACACCTACTTGGAAAACGGTGGCATTGGGGAGCGAATCAAGTACCTTTTAATCGGCAGTTAAGGGATTAATTACAAACCGTACAAATTATCAAGATAAGTTAATTTGTGTATAAAATTTTTATATATAACAAGCCCAAGGGGTCAATGGTAATTATAAAACTTGTTCTTAACTTAGTATTGCTAAATTAATTATGAAATATATATTTGCATTACTGATATATTTATAAGTGTTTTTTATCAGTCAGTGTAAATGTGCATTTATTTCTTATTATGTCAGAATGTATTTTGTTTGTTTACTTTCAGTAAATTAATAATTTTTTTAATAATTTTTTTGTTTTCGATTTTTTAATATGCTTGCGCCTCCCTTGTAGAGTTATATCAGACTCCCCCTAGAGGGTGGGCCCCACTTTTTGAGAAACGCTGCATTAAGAGCTTTACATTTGGCAAGGGTCGGAAAATCTTTCTAACCTGCACCATTTATAATTTTCTCAAACTTATAGCTTTTCACGATTGTCTTTAAATTGTAAGGACTAAATTATTACATTTCATCTCGTTTAAGAATTTTTCAAAGGTTTTAGGACTTGAAAATTTAATGTAGTGTGTATCCATGGTGTAGTGGTTATCACCTCTGCCTGAGATCGAGAAAGCTCCAGGTTCGTAACCTGGTGGGTTATAACTTTTTTTGACTCCGGTGACTTAGAGATAACGAGCCCGTTTCTTTAGCCCAAGGTTCAGGGTTCGACATCGGCTGAAGTCGATAGATTTTTTGGATGTGAAAATCTTAAGCACTTAAGTCATATGATTATGTGGCATGTAAAAGATCGCTTGAGTATCAATTTGGCTCTGATACTGTAGATAAAATTAAATCATAGCAATATTTAGCATCTGATGAAAGCTTGAATTAAAAAACTGTCAAGCGTCCGAATTTGGTAACAAGGTCGCCACTAGAGGGTGGTACCATGAAATAGCTCTCACTTTTTTGGACGCCGTGTCTGCAAAGGATAAATTGTTAAAATGCCGCCCCATTAAAAATATTTTATGTCGCCTTTCTTCGAATGCACTATGTCAGAACACACTTGTTACGGTACCTTCTTCTCATGTTGGTTAAAATGGTGATCTCGCTGATCACTGTAGCCATATGGTAGGTTACATGTAGCCATGCAACCTAGTGGTTACGGTCCCGGAGTGTCACGAGCTTGAGTCCTGATGCCACTGAAGACCCTCCGTGTAGAGGACTTGTCGCTTGCTCGGGTATCGTCCTCTTCACTTGATCGAGGTTCATAATTACGTAGTCCGTCACCAATAACTCTCTAGAGTTGCTTTATAGTTCGACATTAATATAATTCGTTTTGACAAGGGTCAGAAAAATTTTCATTTGTACTTCTAATAGATTTATTGCTTCTCTTGATCTTCTTTTAAACTGCAGTAAGCTTGGTAAGTATAACTTGATTATTGCAGGTTATCTCGTTTAAGGTTTTTTACCACATTTTTGGACTCTTATATTTGGACTCGCGTTAGCCCTTACCATATGGAATAAGTCACAACAAAATTACAGACGAGAAACTTAACTAAAGTTGATTTTTCAAACTATAATTTTCTCTTGGCATCTTTGGTAATGTCATCTGTCCATAAACATTTTGAAATGGTTCTTTAATTTAAGAAGGAAAAAAAAGTTTAAAAAAAAAACTAAAAAACACGCTTTTATATTCAATTGAACTAAAAAGTATTTAGTGTAAATATTTATATTTAATACGTTCATTATTGTGTGCCATAAAGGGTAAAATACTAACAGGCATATTCGTCGTTTTCTGAGAGGAAAAAATGTCATTTAATTGTTGCAGAATATTATCCAGCTTTATCATTATGGGTTAATCGAAAATTCCATAGACAAGTAAAAATAAGCAAAAAAAACCAAACATTTTTGACTACCCGATGTATTATTATTTATCATTATTTAAAAAACCACTAGGCAATGTGGTACAAAATGAATAGTTTCCGAAAGCAATAAACCAATTTCTTTTAAAAAACATAGAAAGATCAAAGTATTTAAATGTTTAATTTTATTGTTTGTTTCATTTAATCGTTACAGATCGCTTTCGTCTGCATTGCTGCCTTGTTCAGCGCAATGGTCGATGCTGGGGCCATCTTACCCTACAGATACGCCTATGGGGCTTACAAAGGCTACTATACTCCTCTTGGCGCAGCACCCTACGTTGCTGCTCCAGTAGCAGCTGCCGTGGCTGCTCCATACGCTGCTGCCGTGGCTGCTCCATACGCTGCTGCTGCGCCCTATGCTGTAGCTGCACCCTACGCTGCTGCTCCTGCTGTGGCCGCCGCTGCTGTACCAGCTGCACCTGTGGCAGCTGCTGTCGTCCCAGAGTATGCTTATCCCTATTACGGAGCTTACGGTGTTTTACCCTACATCAAGAAATGAGCACTATGACAGAAACGATTGCGGCTTAGAACACATCTTTGCTTCATATATAGGTAAGAAACGATCTATATTTAGATTTGTGTGCAAATAATATTCTTAAATAGAATTTTATGACATGTTCTGCAATCTAGATAGATTTGTATTAAAATAGCTTTATAAAATTTCTTCTCAGTGAATATTTAATTATTGAAGGATGAAAAACAATTTTTTCTCAGTGAATATTTAATTATTACAGAATGAAAAACAATTTCTTCTCGGTTAATATTTAAGTATTGCATAATAAAAACAAATTTGTAATGTAGGACTATTCCTACTTCTTTTTAATCCCCCTTGCTCGGACCCTGCTAGAAGTGTGGAGCAACTCATTGATCAGACGACATGATTCACTAAAATCGTTTATTTGTCACACTTATCAACACAAATACAATAATAATCCAATTAAGATAGTTTGATCTCTATTTAGAGCGCGAAAGTGAGAGCCTGGGGATAATATTTACGGACACTCAATTAATTTCCACGATAATAGATACTAGCTCGTTATTAACTCAGACGCACCCTAGCAATTTACTCTCTAACTTCTATTTAAATGATACGCCTAATACCTGAACTCTTGTCAGACAGGCCTTGAACACTAATATCATCTTGATAAGCTCACATCCTCTCTTTGGATATCTTCAATATTCTCACTTTAATAAACTTAGATTCTCATTTCCATAACTCACGATCCTCCCGTCACTAACTCCCAAAACTCGCGCGCGCGAGAGAGAGAATACAGAGTTCATATAATAAACTTAATTTGCATAATCACGTTTTTTTACCTTCGGTAAAAGTTGGTTGAAAGAAATGTTTCCCTCAGAGTCCCCAAGGTATTAGAGAGAACCGCGCATAGATCCTTCTCAAATTCTTCTAAATAAATATTAATTGTTGCAGAATGGAAAAAAAATTTCCCTGTCAAATGTTGTCAAACAAATTTGCCACTGTTTTGAATGGTTTGAACCAATTTCCTCCTTTATTTATTTAATGAAGATTATAATAACTAAATGTGCACAGAGGAATTTGATAAATTTTGAAAAAATAATTGTTTGCGCTTTCCGTCTATAAAATATGTTCAATAAAAATACATTTTCTCATAATTTTAGCGCCAATTTTAAAATAAAATCAAAAGTTTGGCATTCTTCTTGTTAATGATTTTAAAATCAAGCATCGTGAAATCCATATTTTACTACTTATCCGTACCATTTTGATTATTTAACAGAAAATTAAAAACCTACTCAAGTTCCTGGAAAGCTTAGATTCAGTAAAAATTTTGCAGGAACATTCAGCTAATATCAATTAAAAATATTTTGGTGAAGTTGTAACAATAACAATGTTAAACAACTTGGTCTGTGTAATATCGAATCTCATATATTTTTATCCTCATATTCTTCTAGACTTAAGTACATATTTCAGATTCTCACTTTTTAAGAAGTTTTCCTTGGTTTTGAAGAAAGCTACATATATGTAAGATTTTTAAGAACGAGTTAACATAATGTTCGAAACTGCATTTTCACTAAACAATAAGATTTTCAAAATAATTCTGATTAATAAAGCTTCACAAAATAATCGAAATCAGTCAAACGTTTTCCCTCGTCTTATATCAAAAAAATCAACTGAAACTGAATTATTTATCACCGTATTGAAATAGATCATTTATTTCTAATATTTTATTTTCTATATATGTTCTATATTCTTTTTTCTTCTTCTCTTTACAGGGCGCTGATAGCTGTATATAAGTTGCCTAAAGAAAGGGGAAACAATTTTTCTTATGCACTGGATATGAACTAGTTCATCCTCCAGCATAATGAAATATTGTAAAACAAAAAGGCAAATTGTATATGATTTAAAGCCAAATAAATTCATTTTTGTACGTTGTACTTAAACGTGTTTCATTGAATTCAAGTGTTCCTTGATTCTATTTTATTACGTTTAATGTTAAAATTTTTTTATCCAGAATTGTAAAACATTTATAAATTGAGGTTAAAAATACAGTTAAATTATACAAGTAAGTAGCTAAATGATAGTTATTAAATAATAAGTAACAACACAGCAGATTAATACTTATCAATCATAAATATTAATCATAATTATTGTCACTATCAACCAAAAAATACCAATCATAATTATTATAATCATATATGTCAATCATAATTATTAATGCAATCAATTATACATATCCATCATAGTTATTATCACTATCATTCATATTTGACACCAATGCCAATCCTAATTATTACCACTATCAATCATAAATATAAGTCATAATTACTATCATTATTAATGATAAATAACAAACCTTATCGACCCTACTGATAGAATCAATCGGTTAAAAGTTTTTACCAATAGAATATAACAGAGGCGTTTCTTTTAAATTCCTTTTTAATATGTATTTCAATGTTACACGTGCGTTTGGAAACACAAAATGTTTTCTTAATGTTTTTTCCTTTACTTTTTAATCTTACAATGATTTTTATAAAATCAGAGGAATTTTGTTTTTAAATTTGGAAACTTCCGTTAAATTATTTATTGCTGAATAAGATTTATTTATGATTTTATAAGCCTGTTTTTAAAAAATTCGAATTAGATGGGCTTCAAAACGTTGATCACTTAAAAAATATTTTCACTTCATATACCGATTTTAAAATTGAGTTATTGTAATTAACTTCGAATAATTGTTTGTATTATCAAGCGATGAAATTAATATATTAGAGAGAAAAAGAAGAAAAATATTTTAAAATAACTTAATTTAATGATGTCTTTTCATTCCTGTTTTCACCAAAGTAATGATTCAAATACACATATACTGAAATAAAAATATTTTTAAACGTTCTATGTCGGATTGGTGTAAAAATCAGAAAGAAAATCAGCTATTTTTCCATCAAATACCATCAAGAATGCGAGGTATTCCTGTTGTAGGAAATATAAAAAAAAATCGTCAAATTGTTCGAAATTTTAAGATAACTATTGAAACCATCATTTTTTGTTTGTTAGTTCGGGGCCTTCAATTTATTTCTTTTTAAATTAGCTTCAATCCTGGCATCTTTCAAGAACAAATGATTTTGATACTTGCAATTAATCTCTAATCTAATTCTGCAATGAACATATTTATACATATTTTTTAAAAAATACATTCCCTTCTATGCAAAATATTTTCATAACATTATATCTAAGAAAAAGTTCAACATTAACCAGAATGAAGCTTATT